TTTTTTTTTTTTTTTTTTTTTTGAGATTTTAAACATTTGAATAGTTAAATAAATTTGAATTCTTTCAAAGTAGCATAGAATGAAATAAAATTTGTTAGTGTTAAGAAACATAGCTCAAAATAATAATATAGTATAAGGAAAAACAAGCTAAGAGATATAGAGAGAAAAGATATATAGAGATTCTTATTTTTTTTTCAACTGTGTGTCATTTTCTATCTATTACAAGACCTTTATATAAGCATGAAAAATAAAGAAATATATCATTGAATATGTCATTAAGCATTTGAGATCATAGAGGAAGATCATGAGGAGGTTATGGAGTTACAATCATAACTCCGTAAGTATTATAGTAGTGAAAGTTATGGAGATAATGAAGAAGTATAGTGAGCATTACTCCTTTGATGGTTAAGGACATCCACCATAATTTAAGATTTTATAATAGTTAGCACTTTTTGGAAGTTCAGTATATTTTGGAAAATAAGTCGCCTATACAACCGACGATCTCTCTGTCTTTTTCTTAGCTAATTTACATGGATGTACAATATATGTGTAATCCATGTAATATAGACTTCTATAAGCTCAATTATAACGCATTATAACCAAAATTCTTGAATTTCTTTGAAAGGACTATCCGAGTTATATATGGGGGAAAGTTTGGGCCTAATTAGAATTTTTAGTAAGTTAGTGGGCACTCTTAGTAAGTTATTTTCTTAAAACTGTGGTCGCCTATAGAACCGACGATTTAAAACAATATAAATAAAGGACATCGTCTATCAAGTGTGACCTATTTGCATTTTCTACCCTCAGCTTTTTCATAAAACCCAAAACCCAACCCAACAGCCCAACTTCTTAAAACCCTCGCTTCTCTTTCGGACATTTAGCAGAAAACTATGTTTTAAAAGGCGAAAGAGCGTGAGTTGAGACATTTTACTTAATGTGGGGTAAGACGTAAGCCCTGAAACGATCTTTAAATTTTTTTATTTATAAATTAATAAAATAGTAAAATAATCACAAAAAATATATATAATACATTAAAATTTAAGAAAATTATAAGGGATTATAAAACTCATAAAAATAAAATATCTAGCATTTTTTATTAACATAAATAATGAAATAGTGTTAAAGTTACTATGAGATAAAAATCAACTAAAACGTCTTATCTTTCGAACAATTTAAAAAACATACGTAATATGTTTAAAAATATTATCAAACTACAAAGTTTACCTCTCTAAAAGTTAATAATCATTAACTTCATCAAAATTGTAATTTAAAGTATTACTCCTTATAAATAAATATAAAATTTCTTTCAATTAGCGAAATAATTAAAGTATGATAATTTTGAGAGAGATAGACTAAGATATGAAGACCTATAGCAAGTGATCATGTAAATTTTGACTCTTCAAGTGATACTCACCCCAACGGTATTCTTAATCAGTAAATATGTAATACTATGACTCATTATTTAGAGTTACTCTTGATCTTCAATTTTTATAGATAAATAAAACTTTAATAATTCATTTGTTAAAGAATTTTGAGGGTCAACAATGCTAATTAGGTAATTAGACACATAATTTGCGTTAGGAATTGTTAGGCGAGCCCTGAGCATTGAGCGTTAGGCATATTTCGAGTGCACAGTCGAGCGCTTGGGGCGTAAGCCTCACAAAACCAAACCCCACACGTGAGCCTTAGGGCGTTTTGATAATGTCGCTCCCCGGAGAGAGCCCCGAAGCGAGTGCCAAGAAAGTCTTTTAAAATACTGGCAAAAAATACATACACACACTCCAATTTAACTCTTGATTGCAATAAAAGATTTCTCTTCCTAGTTGCCCCTTAATTTTACCATGTGGAAATAGTCTTGTGCAAAATATAAGGTACAATTGCATACATAAAATTTAATATGGTCCGATCCTTTTTCAGACCTCATGTATAACGAGAGCTGCCTATTGTTTGCTTGAGCTGCTCGAACTTGATGGGCTAATAACTTGTAGAGATAGTTCATGACATATTCATATCTATAAATGCATGTTATTAAGATGAACAAAATGAAAAGATTAAAGTTAAAAAAAACTTCAAGAACGTTATCATTCTTTTAGAACGTACAAAAAAAAGTATAGAAAATTAATGGAGTTTATTATTAATATTAATGAGGGAGGATGCAGAGGCGGCCACACATGATGAGTAGTGGGGTCACCGGCACCCAAAAACTTCAGCAAAAACTCCATATATACTAGCAAATATTTTTAAAAAATAGTTAGATATTAGTATACGTCCCGTACTAATCTTTATGAGCATTGATAAACTTATATTGAATGTCATGATGCCCGCACTACCGCTGAATCCTAGGTCCGCTTCTGGGAGGATGTATAGTCGTTGATTTCTTAGATATTAAAAATTGAGTAAAATTGTAGTGAAGTGAGTAAAGAATTAATTTCACTTTTGTGCAATTTTATGTAATTCTATCTATTTTAAGTTGCTTCAAAAAAAGGAAAAAATAAAAAAATAAAAAGGTTGCTTAATGAAATAAAAATAAAAAATGAAGAAAAGTGAAAAAGGCCCGTTTATAACCATGATTTACTATTTTACCCTTTTCAATCAAGTATATGTTCTCGGTTCGAGTCTGGCGCAAAGACTGAATTCTAGCGTACTTTGGAAAGGGACAAAATTGTCCAACTCTATTTAATACAATATACTCCATATAAATAAAATACTGATCGATTAGTGTTGTGAATACTGAATGAGACCCCTCCCTCAAAACTTTGGGTTTACTGTAAAAATTTCAAATCGGAAAATTTCGCCGGAAAAATGTCGGGGAAAGGAGCAAAGGGATTGATAACAGGGAAAACATCGGCAAATAAAGACAAAGATAAGAAGAAACCCACCTCTCGTTCTTCTCGTGCCGGTCTTCAGGTTCCCGCCCTCTTTTCCTCTTTTACTTTCTATTTTTGTCCAATAAATTATCTGGGATTTTGTTTAATTCTTATGCAACCTATGTTTTGCTTAGATTTTTGGGTTATTGTTGTAAATTAGGGATTTTTATGAGACATGTCTTAGAATTGTGTTTTGATAATCGTGGTATCCGGCCAGCTAGACTAATTCCACGGGTTACGTGCTACCTCCTACCAGCAGAGGATTTATAGTCCCACGAGCCTGGTACCCTGGCTCGTGGCGTGAGCGAAACCGCGAGGCTCCCATGCTTGCCCTTTCGCCACACTAGGGCCTTAGTGAGGGAGGGCGTTGTGTGCCGGGCCTTTCTTGCGCAAGGGCTGCTATTTGCTATCGATCGATAGCTATCATCTCCAAGATATCACTCACCATTAGGGGTTGGACGTTCAGTACTTCGGTTCGGTATTTAAGAACTTTGATTCGGTACTTTGGTATTCGGTTTTTCAATTGTATATACCAAATACCGTACCAAAGGTAGTTCGGTATTTCTTGTTCTGTTTGGTCATGTGTATGTAATAACTTAAATATAGCTGCCAAATAAATTGAGAACTAATGTACTTTTGGAAAAGAATAGTACCATCTTTTAAGTAGGCAAGTGACAACAAATTTCTATCCACATTTTGCTTACCATACAATGCGTGAAATGTAACTAGAATCTTGCCATAATTTTTGACAAGATAATCATAACTTTAAGGAACAAATATAGCTAACTGAACTGTAGCCAAATTTGAAAAATATTGAAATAGCATATCAAATATTCAAATGGGCAGTAGCAAAGTAGCATCATATCAACACTCTACAGCAGTAGCTGTAATGGTATACTAACTCAGACATTTTGAGCCCATTTTTCCTCCATTTTCGGGCGATTTCAGAGCTTTTGAGAAGGGAGTTCAACTAACAACTTGAAGGTAAGTTAATTCTACACCCCTTGAGTTAAATACATAGATTATAAGTAGATTATAACTAGTAAATCTTAGAAATCAAAAGTTTAGGTGAAAAACCTTGATTTTTATAAAAATGAGATTTTAACCACGAAAATAGTTATGGAATTAGGTAGAAATTATATATTTGAGTTCTTCAGATTATGGGTAACGTTCCATCCGGAAATTTCCAGAATCCGGGCACGTGGGCCCGGGGTGAATTTTAGGAATTTTATCATTTTGGATAGGGTAATTTATTTAATAGATGAATTTCGAATTATTGAACATATATTAATCATTTTATATAACTTTTGGATAGTTTCGGATTTTTCGGCATTGAATCGAGAATTTTACGCGACGCGATAATCGGAAAGTGGGCTTTGAGACGAGGTAAGTCTCTTGTCTAATCTTGTGAGGGGGAATTACCCCATAGGGATTAAATTGAATAATTATTGATAGCTGAATAATTTTGTTATTCTGGTTTCTCTACGCAATGCACGACTTGTGTCAATACTAAGGTCTGTCAGGTAGTGGTTTTATTCCAGGAATTCTGTTACTCTTCTTTGACTCTTGACTTGGATCGTGCAAACTTGCAAACTGCCATGTGTAGTAATGTCTTTAAATTTTTTTCATCAGCATCTAATATTATTAGCAGGATTATGTGACCTTAAATTCTGCAAATACCTTTATCCTTGGCAGTGCTGGGATCAAATGACTATCTTTCGTTATGGTTTCTAAACTGTTTGGCTTGTGCCTTTTCAGTTTCCAGTTGGGCGTATTCACCGATTGCTGAAAGAGAGGACCACGGCAAATGGGAGAGTGGGAGCCACAGCAGCTGTCTACTCTGCTGCTATCATGGAGTATCTGACCGCTGAGGTATTGGAGTTGGCTGGAAATGCGAGCAAGGATTTGAAAGTGAAACGTATCACTCCAAGACATTTGCAGCTGGCAATTCGAGGTGATGAGGAACTTGATACTCTGATCAAAGGAACTATAGCTGGAGGAGGTGTAATACCGCACATTCACAAGTCGCTCATCAACAAATCTTCGAAGGAGTAATTAAGCCTGTCTCTTACAAGTTGTCTCCTTCCTTTTTGGAGAAATATTCGTTTCTGGAAACTTTAGCCATTTGCTTTTGGTGTCTGCAAATGCATAGGCAGAGAATTTCTGTACCAACTACTTTTGCATATTCTATCTAGATTCTCCTTAGGTTTACCAGACATGGTTCTTTGCTGATATTAGTAATGTCGCAAGTGATTGTCTTATTTCCTCTATTATCTCTCAAGCCCTTTACTTAACACATCCATCAATGAATGTGAATTGTGAATGCTGTCATGGTGATTGGTGGGGATTAGATAGATCCTCTGTAGTGTCTGAACTCAGTGTTACTAAAAGCCATCGCTTCATCGCTTAAAACATGACGTGATGCGAAGCAAGAGGCTATTGCTTCATGGGTGAAGCCATGCACTTAAGAGAAACGTGCGCTTGCGCATAGTGATCCAACGAGAAGTTGTCGGGTTTGTTTGCATCTCAACTTTGAGTTGGACTAGTATCTGCATCATTATACATTGGATGCTGAAATTTAAGTTTCTAAATGCAATTTGATTAGTATGTTTAAAATTTTTGTACATCGTGTATTTCACTTCATAGAAGCGTGCACTTCTCAAGCCTCGTGGACCTTGTCTCTTATTATGCATTTTTTGCTTTTAAAAGGCACAACTTGGTGTTTGTTTTTCCAGTTTATACGAGATAGAATTGTAGAGCAGGAGAGCTGGCAACTTCAAAATTTGAAAAGGTAACAATAAACCTAGCTGTAGAAAAGAAGTTGAAGAGGACCATCCCATTTTCAAGTTGTAGTTTGAAAAGAAATTGTTGTGTGGGAAATTGCAGAACTGGTCAATGGTGAAGATCTATGTCCTTTTTAGGCGAATACGGAAGTCTAGAGACTTTTAATTGAACTTTTAGGATTTTTTGCCGTAGTGGATAGAATTATCAGATATATGTGCTGATCCGAGAAAGCAAGTACCGGTGGAACAGTTGAAGTGCGTGTAAGTTGGCCTAGCTTGCATCAACTTGTACTGTTCATACTGTGGTAGAGTTGTCAAAGATTTTGCAGCAATATTAGAAAGTGAATCAACATTATCCTTAAATGAATCTATCAAGATTACAAGTTTTAATAAAAATTCACAATCTGAATAAGCTTCCAATAATAGTTGATTGAATTCTAGTACAATTATTAACATCCAAAAGACAACAAAATTCCTGTATAGACAACTAACAAAATGCCCTTGCTTGTAGTTTACTTCTAGATTCACCACTACTGATAAAGACCCTTGGAGTAAGATGCAAAAAAATTTACAATGCCATTCCTATGGCAAAGCTAACAAACTTTCCCCAGAAAATCAAAAGAAACAACTGCCAACAGAGGCTAATTCAGCATATACGCGCGCAGTGTGTGCACGTGCACCCACTGAGTCGAACTTAGACTATATATATATATATGTGTGTGTGTATAGAAAATTTTAGAGAAATATTTAAAAAATATCTAGGTGTATCAACTACCTTTAAATTCTGGATCTGCCTCTGCTTGCTGATCGACATTTGGTATTCAAAAGTTTGCTACCTTTGGAACATCCACAGGAAACTTTTCTATCTCATCAATCCAAGGGTTGATCACTTCCTTTGCTGGTTTTATAGTTCTCAATGCCTTCCAAACAGCACTGTTACACTTAAATCCTGAACCAAAACCTATCTGCCACACTCTTTCACCTCTCCTTACTCTTCCCTTAGCTTCTGTATAAGCCAACTCGTACCAAAGAGAGCTGCTCGACGTGTTGCCAAAACGATACAATGTCATTCTTGATGGTTCTAAGTGCCATTCACTAAGATGCAAATTCTTCTCTATTTCATCTAACACAGCTCTTCCACCAGCATGAATGCAGAAATGCTCGAACGCTAGTTTGAAATCAGGAATATAAGGCTTGAGTTTAATTTTAAAAAGCTTCCTTCCAACTAGTGTAGCAAAGAAAAGCAATTGTTCTGATATTGGTAATACAAGGGGTCCAAGGGTAGTAATATTAGTTTTCAATGCATCTCCAGCCACTGCCATTAGCTCTTTCGATAAGGAAACGCCTAGTTTCCCATTAGCATCCTCTTCTTGAGTCACAGAAGCGAAGCACTTATCGTCTGCACCTTTATTCGTACGAACAGCATGCAAAAGTTGGTATTTTGATCTTCTTCTTTCTGTCCATTTATTTGAAAGTAGTATAGCTGCACCTCCCATTCTAAACAAACAATTTGACACTAACTTTGATCTATCATTTCCAAGATACCAATTCAGTGTTATATTCTCTGTGCTAACGATCAACGCGTATGTATTTGGATGTACTTGAAGTAGTTTCTTAGCAAGATCAATAGAAACTACACCTGCACTGCACCCCATTCCACCTAAATTATAGCTAGCTATATTCCCTCTAAGCTTGTAATGGTTAATGATCATAGCAGACAAGGAGGGGGTCGGATTAAACAGGCTGCAGTTTACAATCAAGATTCCAATGTCCTTCGTTTTCATGTTCGTTTTTGCCAATAGACCATCAATGGCACCAAACATAACTGTCTCTGCTTCTTTTCTAGCTTCTTTTAGTGATGGATTTGGAGGTACATTGAGCAAAGCCTCGGGAAAGTACGTGTTATCCCCGAGGCCTGATCGTTGAAGGATTCTACGCTGGAACTCAAGATTCTCCTCCGAAAACGCACCAGTTAATCTAGACTGGTCCATAAAAGTCTGCATTGTGCATTTATGAGCTTCACCAGGCTTGTAGCAGTTGAAATCCACGAGGTATACAGGGTGAGGACGGGTTAAGAAGTAGATTGTTGATACAAATACTATGAGTGTGGAACATGAAATCACAGAGATAAGATTGTATTGAAGATTATCCCACAATTCAGAAAGATCTTGAGGAGTTAGTGTTGACATATGAGCAACAATAATAGCCACTAGAGGAGTTAATAAGAGGTACATTCCATGTGTAATTAGGTAATGGTAACCAAGTTTTACATATTTCAACTTAACTGACTTGTTGTAATCTGGTAGCTTCTGTGATGAGGGTGGTATCAAGGGTGTAGTTGCTTTTGTTTCTGTCATTTTTCTCCCTGTTAAAAACATTTGACATAAGGTTAAGTAATTCTTTGAGAGATAACAAGGATAGTATATTTTTGCATGAATTTAACTATATACTCCATATATTAAAGGGCAGGAGGGGAGCCCTCGCGTAACTAGTAAAGTTGTTGCCGTGTGACCAGGAGGTCACGAGTTCGAGCCGTGAAAACTGCCTCTTGCAGAAATGCAGGGCAAGACTGCGTACAATATACCCTTGTGGTCCGGCCCTTCCTTGAGCCCCGCGCATAGCGGGAGCTTAGTGTATCAGGCTGCCATTTTTTATATTAAAAGGCAGCCCGGTACACAAAGTATCCCGCATTTATGTAGAGTCGGGGGAAGGGCCGCAAACCCAAGGGGTGTGATGTAGATAGCTTACCCTAATGCAATTATTAATGGTTGCTTGACCTATACTATAGGTAGAGGGGTCACCGACACCTGTAAAGTTCGGCAAAAAATTCTATGTATACATATATATATATATNTGAATTACAATATGAATCTTATTCCAAATTGTGGTTAAAGTGTTTGCTCATATTGCAATAAATCAGATTCATCATATCTTTTTATTTCTTGATTTAGAGGATTAAAATGCATATAGAAAAACAAAAGGAGGTGCATAAATGGGTTCAATTTTGATTAAAAAAACTCAATCACCACTATGACCAAGAACAGATTTTGCATAGATAAACATTAAAATAAAATTCAGAAACAAAAAAGTTAAAAAAAAAACAGATAAAGAAATGACCTTTAGATGGTAGTCACACCCCAGATAGCTTTAATCCCCCTAGAGAAGCAAATGAGAAAGAGAACTAAACTAGAATATCATATGGGAGTTAGAAAATAAACAAAGTTTTTGTAAAATTGTAATATCCATTAAACTTTTGTTAGAAATCAGAGGTAATGAGAGTTTGACGGTTAGAAAAAAACGAATTAGAAGAACATGCAATGCCATCAATTTTAATGGAAATTTATCTGCATCGGGTGTTTATGTCAAATTAATAATAGGTGCATGATATGAGTTTGTAAATAGACTCATCCCACTTAATTATAGTTAACTAATCCATGCTTTTACCTACTAAAATTACTTAATTATGATAAATTAATATAAATACCCGATGCAAATAAATTTTTACCAACCTGTGACCTGATTTTGTTTTTGACTCTCAAGATAATTAGTTTTGTTCTAAACTCTAACATTGATGAATTTGTTATTCAAACGAAAGATAGACTTATATATTTAGGACCTTATATTACTAACTATAATGTTGTTTGGAAAATACAAAAACCCTCGTCAAGTAATAATGTACTTACTCTTCAAGAGTTTAAGTAGACTAAGTGTGTTTGGTGTGACGTAAGTCATTTTCCATGGAAAATATTTTTCGATGTTTAATTGGTTGGTGATTTCTTTTTCGAATATATATATATATATATATTGAAGATCAATAAGATAAAGATTAATGATTATGCTCCATTGAAACAAGAAATATATGGAGTTAAAAGTTAAGATAATTGTAAAGAAAATGGTTTTCCCTAAAGTATTTTCCAAGGCCTGAACCAAAAATTATTTCCCTTTTTTTGTTAACTTTTTATGAGTATTTTGCTGGTTATATAGTTGCTCCCCTTCTTAAATATACGTCGATAGCTATATTCATGAAACAAAATTTTCTTGTTTATGCAAATTTTGGCTAGGAAATAGTACTTGCAATTTTTCTGTAGGAAACAGTATCATCTTTTTGTTTTTGGTAATAACAGTATCATCTTTGTTATTGACCTTATTTGCTCTAACCATAATTTTTAATTTCAGTATTAAGGCCAGCCATATTTTCCCCCTCGGATCTGTTCTACATCTACACTCACATTTTTTGTTTTTTAAGTTTCCACTTTGTTAGTACCATAAAAATAACAGAATTGACATGGTGTATCTATCCAATTAAATATAGTTACTTACCATTACCTTATAAGTGATTTGACAGTATAAATAGTATTTACACAGTCAGCTCATAGAACGACATGAAAGGGCAATCCGCTGCACTAAGCTTTCACTATGCGCGGGGTTCGGGGAAGGGCCGGACCACAAGGGTCTATTGTACGCAGCCTTACCCTGCATATCTGCAAGAGATTGTTTTCACGGCTCGAACCTATGAACTCCTGGTCACATGACATTAACTTTACCCGTTACGCCAAGGCTCCCCTTCAACTCATAGAACTACAGCTCTAACAATATTTGGTGCAGTGCACAAGAGAAATCAGTTTAGTAGTGTTCAGCACAAGCATTCTGTGCTATGTACAAGCCATATATTTGTCAAAATCTCTAAATATTTTGAGATACAAAATACAGTAAACCTAATTTCATAGCTTTTGGATCTGTTCAGTATAAGAACATTTTTCTAAACTGTCTTTGCTTGTGAATCTCTCCTGTTTTTCACTCATGAAACTCTCAGCAATTTTGAGAATGGGAGCTTAATCCAGCTTGAAATCCTCAAGCCATATAAGAACTTCATTCCTCTGCAAAAATCCAAACAGAAAAACAAATAGATTAGACACACAATGACTTTAAGAAGTGATAAAGAACACTACAACAACAACAACCCAGTATAATCCCACTAGTGGGGTATGGGGAACTAGTGGGGTATGGGGAAGGTAGTGTGTACGCAGACCTTACCCCTACCCTGGGGTAGAAAGGCTGTTTTCGATAGACCCTCGGCTCCCTCCCGACAAGAACTCCCCACCTTGTTCTTGGGGTGACTCGAACTCACAACCTCTTGGTTGGAAGTGGAGGGTGCTCACCACTAGAGCAACCCACTCTTGTCACCCAAAGGATCATAAAATATAATGCAAACACCAACAAAAACCTTCCATCAGATGAGAAAATATTAGCAGTAGATAATATACCAAACATAATGTCAAACTAATTTTATTGATCAATCAATCACCTATGCCTCAATCTCAAACTAGTTGGAATATCAAAATATTCAGTAGTGAACAGAGGCCGAGCTAAGATTTTAAGTTTATGGGGTCTTATTATAGAAAAGGCTGACTTACTGGGTTCTGAATAAATTATTTATACACATTGAGTGGTTTTATTTTTTAACAAAATACATGGTTTCAGCTAAAGTTAGTGGGTTCTGCCGAAACCGTACATAGTATACTAGCTCCGCCCTTGGTAATGAAGGCACTGATAATTGAAAACAGAAATAGAAAGAGCAAAAGAAGATTCCTTTTTCTAAAGTCTAAAGCAAAAGAAGAACTTAAGCAGGAATGCAATGAAAGGAACATTATCAGTACATAGAAATATACCATTATAAACTTCCACGTTCGACCAGGATCATTGTAGCGAGCAAGCATGCAATCCGATTGAGGTTTGAGACCGTCCTTAATAAGACTTGATCTGAGTTGTTTCTCCTTTTCTCGAACAACATCATCAGTTGGTTTTCCACTAAATTTTAATGCAGCAGCGATGCCTCCTTCCGTTTTCCTTAAGCTTATACCTTCTTGATTGGGAGCTGGTAAGCTGTTAAGAATAAGGCAATAATTTCCATAGGTCTCATTTGAACAAAGAAAAGGACTAAAGTCCAACTCTTACACATAGGCGGGCGATGCTTATGATGACTTATATATATGAAAAGCCACTAAGTTTCAACAAATTGTTAAAATGTGAAACCATATTGTCAAAAAGTATAATCAGATCAGTGCTAAGAATATTTAAAGATTCCATACTGTTTTCACTCAGTGTGAGATGTTTTCTTGTATATTATTAATACAACGTGTTAAGTGTTACCTGCTCAAAGATTTATCCGATGGAAGAACTATCTGGATTGACACTTTAGATTTTTCAGCATCGAATGCCTGAGTGAAGACAGGAGTAGTCATCGGTATCTTCTCTGTCGCTGAATTTTTGCCAAATATGTACCTATATTAAGACGAGTTAACAGTCTACCAATCTAAATCAGAAAACATCACAGAAGTTTTTTTCTTTTAAAAAAAATAGTCAACTTATCTCACCCCGCAACATCATTGAAACCTCTATTTCCTGCGAGTTTGTCACCTTCTGTTTCTACAACTATAAACGGATCATATTTCCTGACCTGTATTGCACCAATGAAAGTTGTGACCATTCCACATCATAAATCTAAACGTCCTAGTGCATCAGTTCAGCTAAAAGTAGCGCAAACCAAATAAAAATGTACGCCTAATATAGAAGTTCTTAGCTTGAAAATACGATGTTATAACATAAATACTACAAACCTCGTAAGTTGCTGTTCTTCTTAATATCTGATAACTAGGTGTTTCCAAATCCGGAGTCTTGTAAATCCTTAACTGCCCAAGATTTGTATTCTCAAATCATAATAAGGCGACATTGGTAGCTGAAAATATTGGGAGCTTATATATAAGGTGTAAGGATCTCTTAATGGTACGAGCCCTTTTAGTGAAAACCGTGCGGGCTTGGCCCCAAGCGGACAATATCACACCATGTTAAGAGTATCATTGGGCCGGTTTATCCCAACAGTCCAAGAATTTAATTAAAAGCATAAACTAAAACAGTTCGAACGCGCACCTGTTTTATGACCTCCAGCAGACCTTCTACAGAAAAATAATCGTTATTCTTAATTGAATCCCAGTAGTCCTATAGATTTCAACAAAGAGTCGGTGACTAATTCGCAAAGCAATCTAAAAATTTGAATTCGCGTCGAGGAAGAGTGAAGAATCAAACCACATGGCTGTTAAATTTGTTTGTTTCAGGATTGACGCCCATAACAGAAGTGCCGGTGAAGACTAATTCAGGTTTCCATGGAAGAAGAATGAACTTCATTACCATTGTCCACCTTGTAGTTATTTCATAGGGTCCTGTCTACAACAAACTCAATCACTCAAAAGATTCAAATGCATAATCTATGCATCACATTCCTTAAAAATACAAGTTTAGTAGCTCAAAGCAAACTGATTAAATGATTAAATAAAACTTCTGCTCCAATACCAAACTACAACAACAACAATAACATACCCAGTATTATCCCACACCGTGGGATCTGGGGAGGGTAGCATATACGCAGACCTTACCCCTATCTTGTGAGGATAGAGAGGCTGTTTCCAAACTAAATTTTGAAAAAGAGAACCTACATAGTACACTACATGTATCGGTATCCTTAAATGGATATGCAAAACCATGAGACACTAATACGCAATTAAGTTTAGTAGCACAAAACAAACAGATTAGATGCAACTTCTGCCCCAATACCAAACTACATAATACTCAACATGTAAAATTCTTCACTTAATGAAATGACACACTTAAACAATCAGAAGCAGTTCATCAGTTCATCTGTGCCTCTGCATTTAACAAACAGTGGACTGATATTCAAAGAGCAGTAAATGTACTATGTATAAGGGTGATACTATGTTCTTGAATATTTGTGCAACACCTTAAACCAACCGAAAACATAATAAGAAGAACGAAAAGCGATAAAAAAACAGAGAGTTTAAACAACCAATTTATTTAACTTATATACACACACTATCGGTATATTTTAACTTGTCGTAATAGGTAATCTGCCTTGTTATCCAGATTACTAATACAACTTTCTAAGGACAATTAGTGTGGTGGCTTCTTAGGCACCCTAATAGTCACCTATATTAGGTATAGTTATCCTTTAGAGTTGAAATTCTATCCATTAATGGTATAAAAATATTTAAACAATGAGGTCACTTATTAACTAGTAATTACATGTTAATCTCTAGTAAGTATTAACTAGTAATCTGCTAAATATTGTAATCAACCCACAAGTTTATATCCACTGAGTATAATAATAACCTTTACATGACGGCGTATATAACTTAAATCCTACTCCATCTTTTAGGCACGGGTTAAATTCAAAAATAGTCAGATTTACAAGTGGTAATTAAAAAATAGCCACATTTTCAAAAGTAATCAAAACTTAGCCACTTTTCATGTAAAGATAAATCTGAACGAAAACCCTATTCAAAATCCGAAAAATATTCCAGCATAATATACTGGAGTTCGAATTTTTTACCTATGAACTTCCAGCATAATATACTGGAGTTCCAGCATAATATCATGGTGCTGGAAGTTCATACACATGTGCTCCTCCAATCTCCAGTATATTATGCTGAAAGTTCATACACATGTGCACTAATCTCCAGTATATTATGTTGTAACTTTCCATGTTGCAGCAAAATAGTGGCTATTTTTCAATGACTTTGCAAACGTTGACTATTTTTCAATTACCAATCCGAAAATTGGCTAGCCCGTGCTATTTTTACTTTAGGCACCTCATAGCCACACAACCAATTCACAAGAAACTGCAGAAATGCTAACCTGTTTAGCCCAATGCAGCTGAAAATCAGGCCTAAACAACTGTTTCAACATTGCAATATTAAACAAATAGCCATCAATTGAATCATGTTTTGTAATTGGATCCCTATACTTCACATAATCATCATATGCCTTACGATCAATACCTTGATCATCAAAAAGATGAGGCAAATCCTCATATAAAAATTCCACTAATTGGTTCATATCAACTGTTGGTTTTTTGGTTGGGCTCTGTTTATCAACTAAACTAAACTTAATTAAACACTTGATTTTTCTGTCATATTTAAGAGTTTTTGTTTTGATATTTTTTGGAGGAGTGAGAAAGACTGAAGTAGGGTGGCATTGCCGGAAAGTGGTGCGCCGGTGAAGTGATGGCCGGAAAATGAGGTCGGAAAGTTGTGAGGTGGCCATTTGTTTTTAGTAGTGATGTTTTTAGTTTGCATGTTGTAAAAGGATGTCTTTGGCTTACGTGTAATAAATATTGACCATAGAAAGGATTGGTTGTGATTTATTGCAGGTCCCTCATTTGTTTTTTTTTTCTTTTTAAATTCTTTTAATTTAAGTATAAGTTATAATTTAAATATCGAGGTTGGTTAAGTTTTTCTATTCTGAACTTTCTTTTGATTAATTTTAATTTCATTATCTCCGGGCAAATCTAATTCGACACAAATCTAACTTAATTCGATACAAATCTAAAAAGAAAAATAAACTTCTAAAACCTATATTTGATAGTATGCAAGTCTGATCGGGCTTTGGTAAAAAATTGATCATTTTCCGACCGTAATCGGTCGAAAATTTTAACAGTGTCAGATAAAGTAAACTTTCTTTTTTGTGGGATCACATTTTTCTACTAATTGCGGTCGGTATTTTTATTTACAATTTGTTATTTGATATTTTCGACCAATTTACTTCGTTTCTGACCGATGTCAGTCGGTATTATTTCCAATCAATTTCTGTCGGTATGCTCTGGATGCTTTTTTGACAGTTTTCTAGTAGTGGAATTAGCCTCACATAATGATGTGAATTGTGATTGTATTGATAATTCCATATATAATTGGTCATGACATGATTATTATATATAATCAGCAAATTATAAAATAGTTTTGTCTATCATGTGAGTATTAGTAGTCTATTAATGTCAACTGTCTAGGCTTAAGTGCTTAACGTACTAGTGAACTTTTGAAGGAATTTTTATCGACCAGCATTAACGGTAGAAAGCTTAGAAGAGTGATCAAAATTTAATCACTAACGAACAAGATAAATGAATAATATCATCTACAAGTAAATGCTATCATTAACATGAAGTTTAGACAGTTATACGTTACAACTATATACACTAAAACAGTTAATAGAAGTTAAACTACAGGTAAAGATTATGTAAACTGACAACGTATAGATAGTTGAACAATTAGGTTATATTGACTTACAACAATTGATCTACATAACGAGTTTGACATCTTATAGCCTGTTAAATTTCATTTATAGTGTAGAAATTCACTGTGAAAATATATCGATGAAGGTGATGGTCACAGTTGTTGATAGTCTCATGAGCTTCGGATGAGACATTTAGTAGACGCTTAGGACATAAAAATGTGATTTCTAAAAGAAAACAAAGTAGTGTTTGGATCGGAGTTAAGTTGAAAAATAATATTTGAAATTTAAAGTTATGTTTGGACATGTATTTCACTTGAAAAAATATTACAGTTTTGTAAGAGAAAGTGAATTTTTACTTCAAACTTAAAACTCATTTTCAAAAAAAAAAAAAACACAAAAGTTCAGTCCAATTTGATAACCAAACATGGCTTGAAAATACGTCTTTTGGATAGAAGGAAAAAAAATAATGTTCAAACGACTCCTTGACATATTATTTCAATGTTCTTAATTTATGTAAGAGACTGAAGACCAGAATGTATGAAAATATGCCATGTAAAAATTGTCATTTCCATTCGATCATCTCGACCTACTATTGTTAAGAACTACAATTCGATCATTTGGACCTACCTCGCATTTATGCAAGAGTCGGTTTTCATGGCTTGAACCCGTTGGCAACTACTAATTACGCCATGCTCCCAACAAAGGAAGTTTAACTAACCAATTAACAAGAAGGGTAGAAATACTAACCTGTTTAGCCCAATGCAGCTGAAAATCAGGCTTAAACAACTGTTTCAACATGGCAATATTAAACAAATAGCCATCAATTGAATCATGTTTTGTAATTGGATCCCTAAACTTCACATAATCATCATATGCCTTACGATCAATACCTTGATCATCAAAAAGATGAGGTAAATCCTCATATAAAAATTCCACTAATTGGTTCATATCAACTGTTGGTTTTTTGGTTGGGCTCTGTTTATCAACTAAACTAAACTTAATTAACCACTTAATTTTTCTGTCATATTTAAGAGTTTTTGTTTTGATATTTTTTGGAGGAGTGAGAAAGACTGAAGTAGGGTGGCATTGCCGGAAATTGGTTCGCCTGTGAAGTGATGGCCGGAAAATGAGGTCGGAAAGTTGTGAGGTGGCCATTGTTTTTAGTAGTGATGTTTTTAGTTTGCATGTTTTAAAAGGATGTCTTTGGCTTACGTGTAATAAATATTGACCATAGAAAGGATTGGTTGTGATTTATTGCAGGTCCCTCATTTGGTTTTGTTTTTTTTTTAAATTCTTTTAATTTAAGTATAAATTATAATTTAAATATCGAGGTTGGGTTAGTTTTTCTATTCTGAACTTTCTTTTGATTAATTTAACTTCATTATCTCCGGGTAAATCTAATTCGACACAAATCTAAAAAGAAAAAGAAAATTTTAAAACCTATATTTTAGAATATGTCATGGATATTTGTGGTAACTGTAAAATCATGTCAATAAGAGTATTAAATTGAAATTGAAATTTAAATTATTTTCTAATTAAAAAATATATCAATCTTTTAGGAACGAAATAAAAAGATAACTGTATCGTAAAAAATAGATCCGGCTCCCCTCCCGTATAGAATCTCTCCAGTTTCACCGATGCAAGTCTAATTTAATGACATACGATCATTTATCAAATCCGAAAGTCAAGACTAAATCAATCCCTAGACTATGGATAAAACTAAATACTCCTATAATTTTGCTTTTCCTTAAATGTAGAATCCTTTATTTACGTGGATATTGGGATACGATACCAGCAAAATCAAACCCTTTCATGGATTTTTTATTTTTATTATTTTTCATTAATCAAATCTCTAAATTGTTAAACTTTTTTCTCCCCAAATTTCAAATTCCTTCAAATGAGATATTATCTTCATATGCATCATAACTTTTTATTTTCACAGGGACATTTTCATTTTTGTTCTTCCACCTTTTTTGATTCTTAGAACCAAATAAATATTTTTTTTTGTAGTAGGCAATTGGTTGCATTGATAATTTTTTTGGTTGAAGTTAATGTGAAAAAGAAATAAATGGTTTAATCTTTTATTTTTCTTCATTCTCACGCCAAAGAATCATTTCCATTGATAAGAAAATATTTTCCCAATCAAAATAAAATTCCCAACAAGTTTTTCGGATATTTATATTAGTGTTTAATTTATCTTCACTGCACAGTTGACTGTTCAATGCATTTGTTCACATTAAAATATCTTTTGGGCTGGACAGAAAATACTTCCAGTTGGATGGGTTTTTTCATTTTATTGGGCTTGCCCTTCATATTTGTTTTGAAGAATTAACCTAAATAGCCACGTATCCGATCGCTTATGTTAAATAGCCAGCCGATATAAAGTTCATGTATAATCAGTATATAATCTATGTATATCGAATATAAATAGTAAACAGTGAATCCAAACCAAATATTTGTGTAAATATCCCATTTGTTTTTTTGACTGATATTGATTGTTGTACTTGTATGCGAAGATTTCCTATTTACTCCTTGGTTACCGTTGTAAGTAAAATTTTACATTGTCGGTATATATAAGTCAAATTTCTTTAATAGATATTTTCTAATTCTGTTCATTATTATAGAACGTCCAAACCCATTACTCAGCTGCGAATCCGTTATTGATCTCAATTCTCGACCATTCAAATGATGGTGTGTGATGTTTGGCATATTTCGATATGTGTTGATGTTACTTTGCCCATGTTTTAACCACTTCTT